AAAAAACAGACCTGAATGGCATTTACCCATCTAAAGAAACTTAAATAGTCCTTTCCAACATTATATGGCCCAGGAGAAATCAGACTGCACTGGTTTGAAAAATGCAGACTAGGCATATCACAGGACTAGAAAGCTGAGGGGTTGCTGGGGACTAGCAGGAGGGTGGGGGAGGCAGTGGTCATGGATACCGAATTCAGTAAAATATTCTGGAACTACATAGTGGTGACCAGTGCACAGTTTAGAGAATGTACTCAATGCCAGTAAACGAAATATTTTAAAACATAGCATTATGCAAAAGTAAATAAACAAAGAAAATAAAAATAAGAAATAAATAAATGGCAGAGGAGAGGAAGGGAGACTCTGGGTTGGTCTCAGTAAGTGGTGCTGGCTGAGGGGCCAGCAGGGGTTGTTGGTCTGGAGGTGCCATTGCAGGTGTTTTAGCGCCAGCTCTCTCTCAGGTAGTGGACGTGGTGGAACTTGAGCTAGAGTTTCCACAAGCACCAGAGGTTGCCCTGCAGCTGTAAGAGGAGTACAGATCAAGAGACTATCCCTGTTCCTTCCAGGGATAATATATTTCCCACTGCCTTTCACTCAGTTCCACCCACAAACCACCCTGGCAGTGTTCCTAGAATGCACACAGTGACAGTTGCTCCTGCCCCGCCCATTCCTGGATTATATGCTCTGCATGACCATCCCTGTCCCACTGTGACACACTCATATGCCCCCACCTCAGTTTTTCTTACCTTCTGCTGATCCTCTGTGGACTCCAGGTTTTTCTCTCAATGCTGGGCCTGGTGGCCTTGGTCCTCCATGTTGAGTCCTGTCATAGTGACCTGGCTGTGGATATTACCAAGTGGATAGTGAGGCAAGTGCAAGTTAAGGAGTGAGGAGACACCAAAAAAGGAAGAGGGGGGTAGCAGTATGAGAGGCCTGCCTTTCCTACCATGATGTTGGTTTTATTGGCATCCCACAGTTCAGAGGAGCAGGCTGAAGCTCAGAGAGGTTCAGTTCCAGGACTCAGCTGTATGTGACCCTGTCACCCTGGGCAGGCTTTACCTTCCCAGTGTTAGGTCCATTTCCTGTTGGGTGGAGAAACTCGAGATGGTAGACATGGAAGAGGGGGAGTCATAGAGTTAGGCGGGCTCCAGAGTCTCCTCTAAGCTCTTCAGGGAGTATGCCCAGGACAGAGATACTGTGCAGGTATCATATACCTCTGGAGCCACCTGTGCCTTCTTGGTTGGTACATTGAGGAAACATAGAGTCAGTGCCAAACTGACCCACCAGAAGTGTCTGGGGATGGAGTTCAGTGCAATATCCAAAGCACATAGGGGCTTGTCCCACAGAGGGACAGGAGAGCCCCAGCAGAGCAATGGCTGGCAGCGTTCACAGTGGAATTGCTGAGGGGATAGTTAGAAACACAGCAGCTTCAGGCCAGTTTGTTAGCTGAGCAGAGGTGGCAGCTCCATGTTTTAGGAGCTTATCCCCTGAGTCCCACCAGCACATCACCTTCTGGAGATGGGAAAAACAGGCTCATCCCAGACAGGAGGGTCTCTGTGTGAGGACAGCCAGGACTTCATTTTCTGTGGTATCCTTGTGATGGTTCCAAGAGTGAATGAGGTCCAGGTCCTATAGCCCTGAAAGGCTGAATGACTGTGAAAACCAGGTCCCACTGGAAGGTGATGAGGCCCTGGGTCCCCAGCACCTGCTTTCACAGTCTGGGTGTGTTCCTTGAGACACAAGTACCAGAGAAATGGACCATTTGGCACAAGTTCCTGGTGTTTTGCCTAACTGCAGCCCTACTAATCCTGATGATGTGTAAGAGAGTGTGTGGAAGGACAGTCAGGCCACTGACACCTAGACACCTGGGTCTAGGAGTTATGGTCAGTTGGATGGCAGAATGCAAATCATCTGAAAAATTGAAGTGAAATAGTGTTTGTGTCACTGTTCTGATATTGTCACAAATATGGGAAAAGTGATCTTGCATGAGTCCAAGGCTGAGGCTGGCAGAGAGGGTGGGGATGGGTGAGGAGTTGGTGCTCAGATTCCTCATAGTGTAGGACTATGCCCTCCACCTCCAGGCCCTACCAGGAAGGTGGTCCTGGTGGTGTCTGTGCTCTTATTTGCTTCTCATCTTCTCTAGGCTCTGCCAGTGGAGTCTCCTCTGTCCCACACTTACCCTGAGGGCCAGCTCCTGCCCAGTGGTGCTTGGCCCTGGCTCTTCCTCCCTGACATAGAGTTTATGCTGCAGCTCCAACGCTTGTGGAGGATAACCTGTGGAAAACATGGAAGACAGTGCGTGGTAGCTGGCAGGGAGCATCAGCCCCTGCTGGCCTCCATTCAGGGTATTTCTGCCCCTAGTGACCTTCTGCTCCCCAGACCTCATACAGACCATTCATACCAGGCTTCTACCCTAAGAGGACAGGAAATGACCCTGGGGGCCCAGGATGTACCCTGGACACTCCCTTTCCTCACCTACATCCCTGCTTTGGGGGTGACCATGACAGGACACCAGGATCACAATCTCCCCCAGCTGCTCCTGCCTTAGGCCTCTTCCCCCATACTGAGGGGGAAGGTGGTGGGGCTCTGCAGGACTACTCACAGTGATGGTTTCTCCTGAACGTACCTCCCCAGGGTTACCAGGTGTGGGCCTTGGGCTACTTTGAGGAGTTCTACTTGGAGGAGTACCACTAGAGGAGGCACTGGGAGTGTGATTGAAAGCAACATAGCCATGTCTTAGGGTCCCTTGACTTGACCCCTCTTCTAGGTATACCCACATTTGTCCCTCTGGGCTACTGTTGGCCCTCCTCCAACTCCATGACATTTCCATATGTGTACACAGTTAACCCTAACACAGTTCCCCACATCACATGCCAGGCCTGGCTATAGCCAGGGTCCCAGCTCTGAGGAGACACAGCTAGGTTTAAACCCAGCTCCTCTTCCTGTCCTCTCTTGTGACCTTGGACAAGTCTTCATGTCTCTAAGCCTTCCCCTGCATATGTGAGATAACACTTAGAAACCAGGTTGTCACATTGCTGTAATGAGAAACCAGGTTGTCACATCTCTGTAATGCACAAAAGTAGAGATAAAATATGGAAACAGGTGGGATGTCACATAGAGTAGAACTAAAAACAGGCCTAGCCACTTGCCTTGTGACTTTGAAAATGCCATTTTCCTTCCTGCCTTCTTTCTCTGTCTGCATCTTAAGAGAATTGAAATGTATTTAGTGGGGATATCCTCACCTCCCAGAGCCACCCACCTTGTTCTCTTTGGGATGAGAGTAAGCACATCCCTGGGCACCTTAGGGACCTCCCAACAATGAAATTCTGATCTTTTCCCCTTTCCATTCTCAGGGCCCAGTCAAGGTACTTGGAGATGGGCTGCTCCTGTTCCATAGAAGCGTGGTCTCGAGTCTCTTCTTCTTCTTTTTTTTGGTCTCAGGGAGTGATCCCAGGGGTGCATAGTCACCAAGCCACATCTTCAACCTGTTTTTCTGTTTTATTTTGAGACAGGTTGTCACAGTGTTGCTGAGATTAACTTTGAACTTGCGATCTTCCTTAGCTTCCCAAGTTGCTGGTATTGTAGTCATGTACCACCATGCCTGGCATCTTTGTCCTTTCCCATGTTACCTCCACCTCCTGGGCCCCCATTTTCTCTGACCCACTCTCTGATCTCCACATGATTGCACCTATTGAGAGGCTGAAAAGAAATACTGTTACATGGAAAAGGCAGGCAAGTGTCCCCAGGATCATGGAAGTTCTTTTTCCAAAGGAAATCCTATGGGAGATGGATGAGTCCTGAACTAGGAAGTCATGATCCTGCCTTTTCCTCTGGAGTCTGCCTCTGTCCTGTTCTCTTGGCCAGTCCCTATCTGACACTGGGCCTCAGTTTCCCAAATGTGCAGTGAATGGTTAGAGAGGAACTTACACATAGTCCCTTCTGGTAGATGCTACATAGTTTTCCAGGCTGGGTAGGGTTGGTCAGGGTGGTGCTTCAGGGTTCCATGTTACTGTCTGCCCAGGATGGGTGCAGGTGTACCCTGCTTGGTGTAGCCTGGCCTTGTGTTTATAGAATGTGTGTTATCATTGGCACAGGCATAGAAACAGTGCCACACAACACATTCCCAGGTCTCCATCCTTTCTCAATTGTGAGATCCTTTTGTCCCATCTCCTCAAAGTCAGAAAGTGTAATCACTCTCTCTCAGCTGCATGGAAGTGTGTGTGTGGGGCGGGCAGGACTGGATCCTCAAAGAAAATGTGAGGTATTGTGTCTATTAGAAGTGGGTTTGGATGGGAGCCTGGTGAAGGCACCAGATCCACAGAAATATATATGACACTGCACAGAAATATACTTGGCCCTGCCTCCTGATAAGACAGGAATATATATTTCATAGAGGAGGGAAGGGTCTGGCCTGAGTTGATGCAATGATTTAAGTGGAAGTTGGGGCCTCAGTTGCAATTAGATTTGCCCACCCACTGCAGAAATACCAGAATCATAGAACAGAAAAAACAGAAAGAGGGATAGTTCTTCTTTCTGCTGTAAAAGAAGTAGAGATGGTGCTCAATGCTGACCTGGATGGCACCTGTGCAGTCACCTCACTGTCTTTCTGTCCCAGGCTCTCTGGAGCTGATTTCCATCTCTGAGTCTGTCCCTGGCCCCAGATGCTGAATTTCAGAAGGTTTTTTGAGGTAAAGGGAAAGAGAGTGCCACACAGCTGTGTTGGCTCCATGCAAGCTGATCCCCTCATCCTGACATTCCTTCTGCTCCTGTCTCATCACCTTGATCAGGTGACTCTTAGATGCAAGAGAAGTGAAGAATGACAACCTTTTAGTTAGAGAGTAACTTGCCCTAGAAACCAGTCTTAGTTCTGAAGAAATGGCCAAAGTGAAAACATGTTCAAGAGCAGACTCTTTCCTTTCCTAGACCCCAAGATGTCTTCCGGGGGTCCAGGCAGTGGTTTGTGTGTTACAAAACCAGTCCTGTCATGCCTTCCTCACAGTGTGATTTTCCCTGAATCTGCAAGTTGCTCAAAAGAGAGTTTATAAAGATGGCCAAGGTTGGTAGGGAGAGACCGCAGACTCAAAACCACCTCCCTGAGGTTTAGGGGCATTAATGTGACAAGAAAGTCAATGAAAGGTAATTTGAGGAGAAGGATTCAGTTGTGCATAGGCAATCTACATAGCACTTTGGGGAGTTCAGAAAATGGCCACGTAGCATAATCTGAGGGTGTAGTTTTTAGCCTTTTGACATCAATAGCTTGCCCATGGGACGCTTATACAGGCTCAAATGAAAGAGACAGGGGTTTCAGCTGCTTTGAGCTAAACAAAAAGCTGCCAGTTTTTGAAAAGCAACTTAGGAAAACATTAGCCTTGTGACCTGCATGTTGAACTGTTATCTATAGCAAAGGTACTGGGAGTGTTGTATTTTCATCTGTAGGAGGTATAGAATTGGGGATACAAAGAGATAATTAAAAGCATGTGAAGTCAGAGTGCTCATTCAGGTTTTTCTTCAGGTTCATTGGAAGAGCAGAGATGGGGAGGTGCAATAGGGGAAAGGTCTGTGCAAATTAGCAAGGAAACAAACAAATAGTAACTTGTGAGGAAATGACCAAGGCAAAGTACATAGTTAAGCAAAGGGAAATGGAAAGAATAGCTCCCTATGCACAGAGTGTCACTGTCAGCATGCTATGTAAAAATGTCAGCCACGTTTTATTTACAAATAATGCATGTGAACCAACATGGTGAAGTAGAGCTGGCAGTAATTAAGTTTGCCGAGAGTTACGAATTAAAGTAAGGCAGGATGGGAAATCAGACAGGTGATCTCTATAGTCCCAACATGTGGTGTGATGCAGTGGTGGAAAGCAAAGTTGCAGCAGAAATAAAGCAGTGAGGAGTAAGCTAGATGATGGCCAAATTCCCAAAGCCAAAGCTGTTAGAAATGGCAGGCAGCTCAATATAAACACATCGACAGGGAGGGGCTTCAGTTTGTGTCTTGAGCATTAGATCAAGTTAAAAGAGAACAAAACCTTGGATTTAGTAAGTAGATTGTTGCTTGAATAAACAGAAAATAACATTGGTTTGCATGTTCATGGAACCACTGCAAAAATTAATTATATATTTGGCCACAAAAAAACTTAACCAACACAGAGAATTAGAGGAAAAGCTATATTTTTATCATAATCTAATAAGATTAGTATAAATAATAACATGACCAGTAAATTTTCATTTAGAATTCAAGAAATACCCGTCTCAAAAACACTTGGATTAAAGAGGACTGTCTAGACAGATTTGAAATCTGTTGAGAAAGCTCTGGAAAGAAAAGCCCTTAATTCTCAAACTCCTGGGACTTAACTGTATTTAGTGGAAAAATTAGACTATGGGAATTCTATACTGAAATAGCACAACAAAAGTAAAAGGACCTACATGGTTTAATTACCAAAGGAAACTGGGAGGAAGTAACTGATAAAGATCAAAACAAATTAATGAGCTGGGAAATCAAGATGTATTTATATCCATATTTTAGCAGAAAAGTGAGCAATCCCACAATGGGACCATCTTCAACAGCAAAATTTGAACTCATCACAAATTGCAATTTTCGTGCAAAGGAAGAAGGGAGTAGCAGACATATAGGAGATTGTGCATGAGAAGGAAAACCTAAGTACAGATTAAGATCTTGCATGGGCATGGAAGGGAAGGATAATTAAAGACATACCAGACGGTGTTGTGCACCTGCTCAGCCGTCTGCACCCATGACAGGCTTGCAGGACCAGCCTTGGTGGAAAGCCATGTGGCAGCACCCAGGAAAATGAAAAATGCAAATATCCCCAGAAACTCATACATAGAAACAACAACACCAGTAAGTTCAAGTGTGTTTATGGAGCATTGTGTCAAAAACTGGCAGCACATTGCTGTATGAGCAAGGAACATTGGGGTCATGTGCATGTTATACATTATTAATGTGGATACATCAGCCAGGAGAAGGAGTGGAGTCAAGCTGAGGAGGTGCCTTGAAGGAATTGTCTCTCCTCACCCTGGAGTGGGAAAAGAAGATTCAGAAAAGTGAGTGTGATAAGACCCCATTTGTTGTTGTATTCCCCACCCCACCCCCCAGCATCTGCTGATCCATTGGCATTATTGGCTTTGTTAGTTATTTTCTTTTTTTTTAGAGAGAGAGAGAGAGAGAGAGATTTTTAATATTTATTTTTTTAGTTTTCGGCAGACACAACATCTTTGTTTGTATGTGGTGCTGAGGATCGAACCCGGGCCGCACGCATGCCAGGTGAGCGTACTACCGCTTGAGCCACATCCCCAGCCCTGTTATTTTCTAATAGAAATACCTGAGACAGATCAACTTACAGAGAAAAAAAGTTGTTTTGGTTCATTATTTTAGAGGTTTCAGTCTATGTTCATTTGGCCCTAAGGAGGAAGCTGCTGAGGAATCATAATATTCCCTTCCTTTGCATGCTCCTACTGACCTGTTTCCAGTTAGGACTCCCTGGGAGTGATTCTACCAAGTCCAGATAGTACCTCAGACTGAAAGGGTTAAACACTTGGGCCTTTGGGGCCACATATCATATATTCTTGGCACTGTCTGCATGGCATCCATAGATTTTTCAGAACCATGACAATATGAAATATGCATGATTTTATTTTTTTAATATTATAGAAGCAGTGAGAAAACATCAGGAAACATAGAGGAATATTCATGAGATGCTGATGTTGAGGAAGGGGCACATCAAGTAAGTATGAAAAAATGCTTGAGCTAAAACATGTATATGACTTTTCTGCTTCTGTGCTAATTGACATCTAGGTGATTGTGGCAGAGAAATAAATGTTTCCATTTTTTAGTGCTTATTTCTTGAGTTATGAGGATGCGCTTGATTATTGTGATCCAGGGTGGGGCTGCTTCACCCCAGGCAGATCAGCAGTACCAACAAAGCATGTCCTGGTGCATTCTGGCCTGCTTGGCTGTCCCTGTCCTGCCAAAGGCCAATGTCTCGGCTTGGCACCAGAATCACGAGGCACTCACAGCTTTGTAGGTTCAAACAGCAATTCTTTATTCCAGCTCTCACACCACCTCCATGCAGGTCCAGGGGCAAACGCGTTCTCCTGTCTCCGGCACAAACCACCTACTCCACGAGGCTCTCTCCAAATCCCATTTTTATCTCACGAGAACTCAATGGGAACAAGCAGCAGGAACACCCTAATCCCAGCAATAATCTTCAACTTCCAACTTCCTTAAAACCCATTATCTTAAACTGGCAACGCCTTAAACTAAAGGAGCCGGTTACTTCCTCAAACCTGATCAGTTCTAAACCCGGATCTGCCTTGGTCCTTGAGCAAGGTCACCTCATTAAAGCATGCATGCAATGTCCCATCAAATGTCCTCTAAGCAGCATGGGGTACGCTTGGCAAGGAAATTTTGATGCGTCATTCCTACTTGGTAATGGCCCTCAGCACTGTCCCACACTCAAGGAGAATGGGCCAGCTAGATAGGGCCAGGCAGCACCTCAGTTGAGCCCTGCCTGTGTTAGGTTAGTTGAGCATTCCTGCTGCCAGGTGGCTGGTGTCTAACTCATGGAGATGTGCACTTTGCCACACCCTTCCCAGCAGGATGACTTTGCTGGGACAGTCCTGGCACTGCCTACTCCCTGCTTTCCATCCCATTTGGCTGCCTGTAGACTTTCTAAAATTCTTTTTAGATATAAATGACAGGAGAGTGTATTTTGAGATATTACATGAAATGTAACTTATTCTAATTAGGATCCTTTTCCTGTGGTTTTACATGATGTGGAGCTACACTGATTTGTGTTCATATATAAGGAGAGGAAAGTTATGCCTAATTCGTTGCAATGGCTTTCCGCTTCCATTTCCCTTCCCTTCCCCCCCTTTTAAAAAAATATTTATTCTTAAGTTTTTTTTAGGTGAACACAATATCTTTATTTTACATTTATGTGGTTCTGAGGATCGAACCTAGTGCCTGCCTCATAGTGTAATCCTCCCTGAATCTGAAAGTTGCTAGAAAGAGAGTTCATTCATAAGATGGCCAAGGCTGGTAGGGAGAGACCCCCAACTCAAATCTGCCTCTCTGAGACTTAGGGGTTTTATGAGACAAGAAAGCCAGTGAAAGGGTATTGAGGTGAGGGATTCTGTTGTCTGGATACATAGTGAATCTACATACCACTTGATGGGACACAATAGCATGATCTGAGTGTGGAGCTTTGGGCCTTTGGTCATCAAATGCTCACCCATAGTCTCTTGTGCAGGCCCCTGTGAAAAAGGCAGGGGTTTCAGCTTTGAGCTAAACAAAAACCTGCCAGTTTTTGAAAAGTAACTTAGGCAAACATGAGTTGTGACCTGCATAGTTAAGTTGTTATTATGCAAGGCTAGTGGGAGTCATATTTTTTAGCTATGTGAGGTATAGAATTGGGGATAAAAACAGATACTGCATGTAAAAATCAGAGTTATTCAGGTTTTTTCTTCAGGCTCATTGTAAAAGCAGAGAAGGGGAAGTGCTTCACAGTGCAATAGACAGTGGACAGGTCTGTACAAATTAGCAAAGAAAAGTAGCTTGTGAGGAAATGACCAAGGTAAAGTATACAGTTAAACTAAAGTGAAATGGAAAAAAATATCTTCCTTTGCACAGAGAATGTCAGGGTGCTATGTAAAAACAAACCTAGCCACAGTTTCTTTTACAAAAATGCATGTGAACTGGCATGGCAAAGGAGGGCTGGCAGTAATTAAGTTTGCAGACAGTTACAAATTAAAGCAAGGCAGGATGGGCAATATCACCATCAGACAGGTGGATTCTACAGTCCCAACATGTGGTGTGATGCAGTGATGGAAAGCAAAGTTGCAGCAGAAATAAAGCAGTGAGGAGCCTGCCTGGAGTAATCCAGGTGATGGCTAAATTCCCAAAGCCAAAAGCTGCTAGAAATGGCTCAGTAAAAACACATCAACATGGAGGGATTTCAATATGTGTCTCTGAGAATTAGATGAAGTAAAGAGTGTGAGAGGATATAAGCACCAACTGGTGGACTGCTTTGTGACTCTGGTAGGAATCACCACAGTGAGAGCTCAGCCTCCACAAGTCCAAGGACAGGGTCCCCAGCAAGGCTGCTTTTTTTACTTCAGATGCTGGCTGTATTGCAGGGATAACCAGAAGACCCCGCATTTCTGACCAGCTGCTATTAATTTGGGGGTTCCGTGACCTTCTCATAGAACTCATGGATACTGGTGATTAAAGTGCTGCTACAAAGGGTACAAACCAGGACAAGCCAAACAATGAGATACACCAGGTGAGGTCTAGGAGGGTCTGAGCAAGGACCTTCTTTCTGTGGGATCCAGCATACCTTTCTATTGGCCCATCACTGTATTCACCAAGCAGGAATGTCCACTGAGATTCGGTGTCCAGAACTTTTATTGGGGTTTCATTATGTAGATGTGATTGATTAAATCAATGGATGTGGGGTTGAATTCAGCCTGCATCTCCCTTCAGTGCCCTGAGGTTGGGCTGACTCAAAGCCCTAACCTTCTACTCACAGGAGTGGTGTTTACGGTGAATAACTTTCCCTCTCTTGCTTCAGATTCAACCTGTTAGCAGAAAAAGTTATGATACAAATAATGGACAGTTTTATTATTTGGGAAATACCAAGGATTTAGACTTCCTTTCTGAATTTAGGAGCAAAAGCCTTTCAATTCTGTTTATACAACATTTGCCATTTGATATTGATTTATCTTTTCACTCAACATATATGCTTTCAATCATCCCAGTAGACACATGTGTCAACAGTGCATTCTTTTTTATTGCTGTGTGGTATTGCATGGTATAGAAATACCACAGTTTGTTGCTATTAAACATGCTTTCAGGTCCCTTCTGGACCATTGATAAGGTGCATGTCAGTGGTTGAAGTAGTAGTTGACATATAATAAAGCTCACCTGCATTCTTCATGTTCTTTGGGAGAGTCTGTCTTCTACCTCAGCCTGAGAAAATCACCTATACATGGTCATAATCAGAGGGGGGAAAACAACACAATAAAGTGGTCTTGGACAAAAAAGAAATGACTTCTTTGCATAAAATTTACTAAATTGCTCTAGTATGTAAAAACATACTTGTGCACAATCTGGTTTAAAGGAATCCACAAAAGAAACATTCTGTTCTGCATGGGAATGTGGCTACTGACCTAAAGTTCTAACTTATGGATAGGAAGACAATGAAGGCAGTTAAATGAGGGAGTCAATTTAATAAGGTGTGTCAGGGTCTGAATAAATCACTCCCTGTGATTTCATGAGAAGCTTTTGCTGGATTAACGTTGCTCCATGATTCCTGTTACCCCCATCCTGAGTTCTGGTCTTTCTTTGTGAACTCATGCTAATGTCCTGTGCCTTTCTCAGGAGAAAAATTTTAAGTTATATTTGGTAGAGAACTGTAAGAAGACATGGAAATGTTGGGAGGTAGAAGCATGAAGTACTAGCTTACACACCTTCATTTGTGTGTGGTCCTGCATAGGCTCTCTCTGGTCCAGCGAGGAGGTCCACAGAACAGGGCAGAGGAAGGTATAACTTTGGGGTCACTAATCAAGACCTCTGGAGACCAAACAGGAAGCAGGTCTGATTTTATTGCTCAGTTACTACACACACACACACACACACACACACACACACACACACACACACACACACACACACAGACAGTAGCTAAGAAGATTACAGGCAGCCACCTGTGGGAGGCCATCCTTGCACATGATTTGAATTACCTCCCTGGCTGGGCAAGAGGAGTTTAGTTTCTCAGGTCCGAGGGCTTGTCATTGTGGAGGTGTGCCTGGCCAGTACCCCGAAGACCCAGTCATCGCACCTGATCTTGGGACACTGCCCCCCTTAATCTTCACTGGATGGGATTTTCCCCAGAATTTTTTGTTCCCCAGTAAAAGTCCACTCCCTGGCATGTTCTCTCTCTTACTAGCCTCTTCAGTAAACCTTGCTACCATAATAGGTAGCTGGAGGCTGGAGCTAGGAGAAGCCATCCTGGAGCTGGTTTAAAGGTAATTAGAGTCTGTCTCTTTAATTCAGACTCCCTTAGGATTTCTCACGTCGATGAACCTTCATTTATGAAGCCTATGCTGGCCGCAGGCTAAAGCCACCAATACAATTTCTGGCCAACTGTCACTGCAACGACCAATTGAGGAGTGGGCTGTGGAGGAAGCTAAGGAACTGCAACACACAGCCTTATGCCCAGGGCTGTGCCTATGGGGTAAGTGGTTTGCCACTATCATGCCTAGCACAAGGGGAGTGTCCTGCCACTCAGACACCCTTAATGTATGCCATGCATGCAGTACTCCATGCACTTGTCCCCACATGGTCTCATTCAACATGAGGGGGCAAAACAATGGGAGATTTATATGGGAGATTCAGTGAGGGTTTGGGGAATAAGTTCATATGCCTATAGATTATTTTGCATGAGAGGATTCTGGTAAAATGAGTCATTCTTTTCATGTGGAGATAAAGTGGTCTCATTGTACTTGTATTCTTTTGATTTTTAAACCTTGATGTTACAATTTCATAGGTTCTGATATGGTGGGCTTTGCTTTCAACACATCTGGAAATATATTAGTGTTCATAGTAAATATGGTGGTTACGAAGTGGCTGAGCTAGCCCATTTCCTTTGTACCCAAGTATTCCCACACTGAATAAATGGGAAGGGAGGCACCAGCTGAACTAGAATTCTGATGCCAGGAATAGAAACCAAAATGAAATTTTTTTTGTTTCACTATATTGGAGAATATCTAATAGCTGAGAGTAAAGGGATGAATGCATAGGGTTATACCATCTGAGAGATCCAATATTATGTTAACACTCTGAATAAATCTCAAAGCAAGATATGCTATTGTCTCTTAATTGAGTCATACCAGTTACCTCAAATGATGAGGCCACACATGGCTGGACAACTTCTATTTTAAAACCCAAAATCCAGCAGAAGCCTGAAAATCTGGTGGTCTTGCCCTGGGAGACATTTTATACATTTGATGTGATAATGAACTGGACTGATAAGTAATGACCTAGTGGGAGCCTATAATGTGCCTATGTCTTCTGACTCTTATTATCAGGCCACCCCTGCCATACTGAAAGTTACCATATCCCTGGCTATGTTTGTGATGTCTTAATATACTGATAATGCAATCATGTTTACAGGGAAGTAGAGTTGAAAGCCTCTTGGCACAGTTCCCAACCTCTTCCCTGCAGTGTTTGACAAGAAAAAGAAATATAGCCAAAGGCCTGTTGTATTCAAAAGAATTAAGTGGACTTTTCCCAACTGCTAGGGAATATTCTCTATATACTTGAACTTTCCTTAGTGATGGAGGTGTCACTGTGGTTCAGCATGGTTGCTCTGAGCACTGGTGGAATGACTCAGGATGGCGTCATGGCAGAATGACCATCTTATTTTAAAATTAATTGTTAAAGCCAGATATGCTGGGTCACATCTGTAATCCCAGGATTTAGGTGTACTGAGACAGGGGGATCATGAGTTTGAGATCAGCCTGAGAAATACAGAGAATCCCATCTTAAAAATAAATGAATAAATAAATATATAAATATTTTTTCAGGGTAAACAAAATCATTAAATAACAATCATATTTTATTTGTCCATATCATTATTTGGTAAATTAATCTGGTTGTTAAAGTTTACTTTCCTAGATTTTAATATTGTGAAAGTCCTCTCTTCTTGGTAATGTCACTAGGAGCAGGTTTTTGTATTTTTTTTTAAAGAGAGAGAAGAGAGAAAAAGAGAGAATTTTAATATTTATTTATTTATTTTTTACTTTTCGGTGGACACAACATCTTTGTTTTGTATGTGGTGCTGAGGATGGAACCCGGGCTGCATGCATGTCAGGCGAGCACGTTACCACTTGAGCCACATCCCCAGCCCCAGGTTTTTGTATTTTATAGTCTCATACTTTGAACTGACCAAGAGGAAAATTTTAAGACAATCTGTGCAGCTTCCAATCACTCTCACATCTCGACTGATGTATTGGTTGGGCTGCACGTGTGACTTTTTGCCTCCAATTAATTCATAAGTAATATTACATACATACCAGGCTATTTAAAGCTCATCCAGGTTGTGTTTAGAATGATGCTTCTTGGACAGGAAAGAGAATGTAATCAGAATTCCCAGTATGATTTCTTTCTGTGGACCCAGCGTCACCCTACCTGTTGCTCCTGGGATGGACCCCACACATTGAGCAATCACTGTTGGAGGCCAGGCCTTAGCACTCAGCCTCTCATCTGGTACCATTAGTCCTGCACCAAAACCTGTGCAATAAGGCCAAAGTACTCTAACATACATTAATTAGATTTATTTGTATGTTCATGTTTACATCATTATGTGTCTTCTGTCAAATGAAGTCCTCTACAGAGACAACTTGACACATCAATATGTTTTTTCATATAAGCTTCCTTGATTTCTGTCCCTGTGGTCACAGACCCTCCTCAGCAGCCACAATGTCCCCTTGTGCATGGGGAGCAGATTTTGCCACCCATTGTTTGTACATGGATGTTACTGAGGGCTCCAGTTTTTTCCATTTCAAGTGCTGGAAGGATATGTACCTAGCTTTAGACATGCTACATAAAGGAAGGGACACATGCTGAGAACCTGAATGGGTGCTGCCAAAGGATTCTGAGAGCAGAGTATTTATGGCCACATCTCCCAGGGATCTGCCCAGGCCTCTGTCTCTTGTATTCTCACCAGAGCTGTTCTGCATCCAGCTTTAAAACCTGCTCACTGAATGGGGACAAATGACATCTCAGTAATGTGCACATTTGTGTGTCAACATTCAGAGGCTGAGCAACTGCATTTTCAACTTCAATGTTGCAAAAATATTTTACATATAAACATACACCTGTTGGGTGGATGATGCTGCCTGTATCCCAGTGACTGAGAAGTTGAGAAGGAGGATTGGAAGTTGGAGGTCAGTTTCCCCAACTTAGGGAGTCCCTGAGCAACTTTCTGAAACAGGTTTTGGGTGGCTGCTCCTGTTCTTGTTCAACTTCTTGTTTTGCTATGGCTGGGGCTGTTTTAGGGCCTGCACATGGTCCAGATGGGAGCACCTCCCCTAGTTGCCATGCTCATTGCTGCTTCTGGGGCCCCACACTGCTTTTATGCAATGTGTGTGTCCATCTTTCAGCAACCTGAGTTTACTACATACTGAGTATCAAGTGCCTTGTCGGTGTCTGCATACAGGTGTGTGACATTCACACAGATGGTTGGCCTTTAATTGCCCTTTGTGGAAATTACAGAATTTGTGAAAGAATCTCGTGACCTCAGCTAAAAGTAAAAGGATTAATTTTGGGCAGGAGCTTAGAGACAAGGGCTAAAAATTTGATGAGGGTTGGGGTATGGTGAAAAGTTTTATAAAGATCAGTCTCTTGTGCAAAGATTCCTGGGAAATATACTGTAACTGTTCTGACCCTGGGATGCCTGGGTAAATCAAACTGCTCTATGTGGTGTCTTATTTTTTTTCTTTTTTCTAGAAATGATTTTTTTAGACTGGTTTCTATATTCCTGTTATTAATTTTGGGGGAAAATGTTTTGATTACAATGACTGTGTCTCCTAGTGCTACATAGATGGGGAAATCCCAGCCTCTCTAATCCCTAAGCAATCTCCATCCTGTATATCTATGCCTCAATAAAGTAAGTTCCTTGCACCTCCAGACACTAAAACATGCCAGTGGAATCTCATTGAGCAGAAGTCAGAGAATGAACATACAAACTCTTTCTGCTGTCCACGTGAAGAAAATCAAGAACTGATGCTGGAGCCATCTTCTGGGGTCATGGAGAGTGAACTGAAGGAGACATTCCAGTGTGGTGTGCAGCTTATCAGGAAGAGGGAGAGATGAGTGAATGCCCTTCTCCACAGAGTTGAGAATGGGGCAAAAGGCAGACAGTTTCAGGGTATCAGAAGAGGAAGTGGTTTATGTGGAAAAGTAGAAATGAAATAACCCTGTGTCTCCACAGCTGAGAGGTATCAGAGAAAGCTATGAAAAAGAAATTTTCCTCAAAGAAAGTCATGTTCCAATTTTGTTTTGGTTCCAAGAGAAAGACTTCAAATACTAATTAAAGCATGAAGAGATCATTGGTAATTTTAGGAACTCAGAAGACTCCCTTATAGTGACCCCTATCTATAAGCAGTGTAATTCCCCCTAATTTATCTTGTCAAGGTATTGATGGGTGAGTAGCCTATAGAGGAAGAATAAAGAATAAAGGTATGATTCACTTCATGGTCAGGACAGAGAGTGATATTGCATGATTTCATCATTCATTCAGAATGGTGAGCAATTTAAAATGCATACATTGTTTATTTTTACAATCTTGAATTACATAGGTAATTCATGGGTAAGTGAAAGGATAGAAAGTGAAATCACTTTTTTAATTCTTCTTAGATATACATGACAGTAGATAATATTTTAATATATTATTCACTCATGGAAAAGTGAAAATTTTTTTTAGATGCCAGTCCAGCCAGCATGCTTTTTAAAAATATTTATTTATTTTAGTTATCGGCGGACACAACATCTTTGTTTGTATGTGGTGCTGAGGTTCGAACCCGGGCTGCACGCATGCCAGGTGAGCATGCTACCACTTGAGCCACATCCCCAGCCCGAAAAGTGAAATCTTTGATCAGAGGGAACTGGTGCATTTTACATTTTTCCTTGCTATGAGCAAAAGACATGACATGAAAAATTAGAGGAAGAATTTTTTTTTCTTTGGGGTATGTGTCACAGTTTCAGAGGTCTCAGTCCATAGATGGCTCACTCCATTTCTCTGGGAGTTAAGGTGAGGCATAACATCAAGTTGGAAGAGTGCTATTAAGAAAAGTGTCTCAGGATATGATCAGGAAGCATAGAATAAGCTCATCTCACAAAATGTATACCAAAGGTATTCCACTCCCAGGCACATTCTACTTGCCTACAGTCTCCACTCTGTTAATCACAATGATGGGATTAATGCACTGATTGGTTTAAGGCTGTCCTAACCAAATGATTTCACCTGAAAACTTTGTGTTATCTTACACATGAGCTTTTGGGGGACACCCAAAATCTAAACTATAAGATATTGAAACGTTTAAATACACCATGAGATCTAAATTAACTTTGCCTCATGGAAAGTAAGCTGGGAATGTGAAATAACAAAATTCTAATAAACACATTTTGGTGTCAAATTGTAGATGTCCTATGAGTTATTATAAGACTTCAAGCTCTAATGGTTAGCTGATGAATACAAGAGCATGCAGTGTGAACTTCTGGGTTTGTCCCTGCTAAGGGACTAGTGACATTTACTTCTCAGTATCTCACTTTCAGTGTATAATTTTCTTTTTTTAACCTGGTATACTACTTGAGGGATTCTGCCGCAGAACATTTTTCTGACAGGGACTAAGGAAGGATCAATTATGATGTGGTTTGTAATGAATTTAACTTACCTGCTTCTAAATTACATGCATTTCATCATAAGAATATTATAATTTCAATTATAAGGATCATGAATACTTTCAAACAGGAGAAGGTTAAATGATCAAAAATTATAACCAGGAGTCTCCTGAGAGGAAGCCTGGGAAATGGGTCATAATGAAAGCAGAGTGTAAAAATTAAGGTTCAATACTGTCTTGAATAGGTAAACCCTAAACATTTAGCAACACTAAATCTGTTTTTTCTTTTTTTTGGTCAGAAAGACATCAGTGTTCCCAAGTCCAGTGGATCAGTAAGAAGCAGCTGTACCTGACACTGAAAGTAGAGGAGTCCAATGCCAGTTTCCTCTTGTTCTTTTTCAGAGCTGCAACAGTGAGACACCTTCAGTCCTCAGATGTCAAGACTTGTAGCTTCTTGATAATGCACCAAAGATGCCAGTCTGGGAGGGGACTGAAGCCATCCAGCTCCTGGGGTAAGTTAGCAGTGGAAATCTCATGAGTTGTTAGAAGTCTCACAGAACACAAGTGGCAGGTAAGGCCAGAACAGGGGCTTCCAGAAAAAGGTAACCTTGAAATACTAAGGGGCAGTTGAGAAAGACCCAGCATTCCCCTTGGCCTCCTCCTTGCCTCAGCAGGGAATGAGCTTCCTGAGCTCAGGTTCATCATGAGGGCTTGGCCAGGTCTTGGATCTGTGACGGCAGAGAGTTGATGGAGGGTTATTCCAACTTGAGTATTCTGAGAGAAAGAATCACAAACCCTCTTCCTTTTCTTCATTGATTTATGCTTGTTCATACACTCAGTTTCCTTGCCTGAGGCAGAGTGTCCCCAGATGCCTCAGTTGATCCCAGAACAAGGAAATATGAGTCCTCTTACTCTCAAATGCCTTGCAGCATCTGGCTGCAGGTTCCAGTGCTTTTGTGATAAATTTGTCAACCCTATACAAGTAAGGGCTCAATTCTCTCTCCCAACTCATCACCAAAAATTTGGTCTCTCAAGATGAAACCTGGGAAATGGGTCAAAATGTAAGCAGAGGTTAAAAATTAAGGTGCAAAACTGTCTTGAATAGGAAGAATATTAGTAAACTCTAAGCATTTAGCAACACTAAGTCTGTTTTTTGCTTTTGTTTTGGTGGTGCTGAGGATGGAACCCAGGGCCAAAAACATGATAGCTAAGCACTCCACCCCCTTGCCACATCATCGGCTCTGTGCTTTTTTTCTTAAAGCCTCACATGGACTTCTTAGTCATAGTGTGTCTGAAATCTGACTTCCATTTCAAACCTAATTTTATTTGTTTGCATGCAGATAGATATATGTATGAATAGAAATAGACTTTACACATTAATATATGGTAAAGAGAAAAGAAAACATATGTGGAGCTAATGGTTAAGTATCAGAGTTACATTTGTAACTTTAGAAGAGTGAGTTACATAGATATATATGAATAAATTTCTTACTGTATTTCACAATAAAAATATTAAAACATGTTAAACATTTACATTAACAAATCCAAAACTAGTAAATACATGCTTGTTGTCTTAAAGTAGGATTTGCAGTAGACTAGACTATCCATGAAGATAAATCAAAGGAACTTCCCTATTCAGAATATACAGCCTAGATGTTAAATATTTTTTTGTATTCTATTAACAACAACAAAGAGAAAAAATAAAGGCTTCAAGCAAATTAATATGCTCTGGAACATTCCCCTCATAGATAAGTTACTAAGGCATTATGGAAAATAGTATGGAATTTCCTCAGATTCTTAAAGCAGAACTGTCATATGATTGATCTAGGAACCCTATATTTCTGCAGCCTTATTCACAACAGCCAGTGTGTGGAAACAACTTAAGTACTGGATGATCTGTTGAAGGATGAATAAAGAATACATGTTGGGGGATGAATATGAGAATGAGAATATTATTTAGTCTTTTCATTTTGGGTACTAGATGTTTTTTAGTAACCATTCTTTAACTTGTATACAACTAGGGATGTTTTGGCCCACTCTCTTTTCTACTTATGATTTTAGTCATGAGATTTGTTTATGGTTTTGAATCATAGCAACAGCCACTTAAACCCAGGGGTGCTTAAATACTGAGCACATCCCCACTTCTTTTTTATATTTTATTTACAGACAGGGTCTTCCTAAATTGCTTAGGGCTTTGCTAAATTGCTAAAGATGACTTTGAACTCAAAATCCTACTGCCTTATGTGGTGCTGATGATTGTGTTAAGGTGAGATTGCAATAATCACTGAGTCAATCTTAAAAACTTTATTCACCAGTTTGGTGGTCCAGATCCACCAGCTGGTGGGCCAAAAGGTAGTCTGCAAGTCTACACCCTTTGACCCCCTCCTAGGGTTGAGTATACATTTTATAGTCCAAAACCATATTAAAGCAGAAGTGGCTATGATTGCTATGATTCAAAACCATAAACAAATCTTATGACTAAAATCATAAGCAGAAAAGAGAGTAGGCTAAAACTTCCCTAGTTGTGTACAAGTTAAAGAATGTTACTCAAAAACATCTAGACAATCAATCTCTGACAGGGAACATTGTCCAAGAAAAATTGGAACCAAAGAGAGAACACTTTTACATTGCATAAGAATTGCCATTTTGTGTTGCCAAACATGCTATGCTAAGCATCTGTTAATGTATACAGAGGTGGGCTTTCCCTGGGAGAAGCATTTCTTACATGCCATGGAGTCTGGTCATATAGCCTGGCCCATAACGTTCCACCCTTTTCTAGAAACAACCAAACCTTTGATTTATCTTTTAAATTAGGTAAGAGATTGTAATGGCCAAGCTATACATTAACTTGACTGATGAAATATGTTGTCTTAGCAGCTTGGATCTTATAACATAATCCAAGCAAGAGAAAAAACATGATTAACATTTTTTGGACCCAAACTGACCTTCATTTTATGTTTTAACCAGATTACTTATTTATACTGACTGCAATTTCTCCTTTTAATTTTAGGAACCTCCTACTGCTATGAGGAAAAGAGCGATGACTGCACTTGCTGCTTTGAGCTGAGAGGGGTTGATGTGCAGTGGGGCCAGCAGTTTGGTGCCCCTTTTTCAAGGGGTCCATGGTAAAAATCTGGTTTACCTGTGGATGGGTGCTTCTATGAGAGAAACAAAAAGACTTGAGTACTGAAATAAGATTAATACAAAATAGCAGTTGTAGTATCTGTAGAAACAATAATCTTTCACCAAGAGGTATAAGAATTGAGAAGCTGTTACCATAACATGGCCAGCCTAACAAAGTCTAGGAAGCTTTTATTTGGGAATGTAAATCTTTAACATTGTCAGAGTTATCAGGAATGTAAGCACAACATTTAGTTAAGCTACTTAATGTCATCTGATTTTTGTAAAATGTCTTTTTATTGACATGATCTCTGGGTCAGTAGAGATCCCTTTATCTTTGTTACTTAGGGCTAGATAATTATACTAGTAAATGCTGATTAAGTCTACCTGTGTAGGAGGTTAGGAAGATCTGTAAGCCTTAAAACTTCTAGCTCTGTTAGTTTCTCTTGGTAGTTATCAGGCATTCTTGCCTAAGAATCACTCTTATGTTGCCTTCAGTTTTACTTATTGTAGGGGACTAACCCAAGTGTACATCTTAAATTACATTAAAATAACTATTATTTCTTAAATACCCAAGAATGGCTGTGTTTTGGTTTTAACTTTTTTTGCTGGATCAAGCTGGTCACCTGACCTTGCTCCTATCTATTGTTAAAAGAGTCAGCTGAGTTCCCTTGGGGAACACTCTTGGGGAACTTCTGAGTAGCCTTTTAGCTCTGCTAGTGCCATCTGCGCTAGGCTGGGTCATGGTCTTACTGACCATGTAGTGTCCTTTGGAAGCATCAGGGATGTTTTCCCTTTCCAATGAGCCTCTTCTTTTGCAGCATGTGTAGTTGGACACAATACCTTTATTTTATAAATTTATTTGTATGTGGTGCTAGGACCAAACCCAGAACCTTGCACATGCTAGGCGACCGCCCTACAGCTGAGCCACAACCCAGCCTGAGGCTGCATGGGCTCTCTTCCAGCAAGGAGGTCCACAGAACAGGGCAGAGGAGAGTGTGGCTAAGAGTCCCTAATCAAGACCTCTGGAGACCAGGCAGGAAGCAGATCTAATTTTATTGCTCAGTTACCATGTATATATACTCAGGCAGCAGCTAAGCAGATTAGAGGCAGCCACCAATGCAATTTCTGCTAACTGTGCTTGAGGTGAGGAGAGGCCGTGGAGCAAGTGCAGGGACTGCAACACACGGCCTCGTGTCCTGGGCTGTGCCTATGGGGTAAGCAGCCTGCCGCTCACATGAGGGGAATGCCCTGCCACTCAGACGCCCTTAACATATTCCATGTATGCAGTACTCCATGCACTTGTCCCCACAGGAGACATTAATTTCTTAAAGGCTTTGTTTTCCTTTTTAATGTAGAAAATTTGGTGTGTGTGTTTTATTGTGACTGGTGCTGATTCTAAAGCAAGGGCTCCAATCAGAGTCATTGGCGATGCTGGAGGGACTGCCATCATTGTGGTGTGGAGACCTTACTTTTTTTGTTATTTTTAATTGTGGAAGGTACCACTGTTATGCGGTTGACTTATTTATTAACTATGCACATATAAAAGGCCTGGGGTTGATGGTGTGGCCAGATGAACCTCACATGAGTTGGTGCCTTGTGTGAAATGTTGACTTTGGCTTCGAAACTGAAAAAATGCTACTTTGGTCATTTATTAAAAGATTAGTAACTGTTCAGTTAAGTAATGTGCAGCTGTGCATGGGGCTAATGTAGAACATTGTTTTACAATTAAAGTAGGGTACAAAATTGACAACTTCTTCAAAACACACATCAGAGGCCTGGGGTGGAGCTCAGGGACAGAGCATATGTTTAGCATGCAGGAGGCCTTGTGGCCCACCATCACACCATCACACACACACACACACACACACACACAAACACACATAATTTTGTCATTTTTTAGTGCTGCGTAATACTCCATGGTGTATAGATGCCACATTTTTTAAATCCATTCATCCATTGAAGGGCATCTAGGTTGGTTCCACAGTCTAGCTATTGTGAATTGTGCTGCTGTGAACATAAATGTGGCAGT